GCATATGTCTATAGGACTTTTTTTCTTAGTTTTTTACTCCTCTACACGCTCCCGAAGTTTTGCCATTTAATTTGGAAACACCCTGTATATATTATATATATATATAATACATATATATGTAATACATATAATAAGGATAGTCTGGGAGACTTGACCATATGGGAGAGTTGAACCACTTCAAATACAATTTCTCATTCAAATTTCAGACCAAGCAGTTGTCAAACCGCGACGTATGGATTATGCCATTTTGATTTCACATTTCTCGAAACATGACAAATAGTTACCAGCTTGATAATCATGCACTTGGCACGAAATTTGAACGAGAAATTTGAAGCAGTTTAACTCTCCCATATGGTCAAGTCTCCCGAACTCTCCCTATATATATGTATATTACATATGTCATAAAATGTATTTTGAAGAAAAGACATAAACTACTTGCGTAATTGAATAGTTGTTACCGAATGCCAATTCAAATGCTTAATAATTCATAATCTTAATGTTTTCATATTTTCAAATATATACAGTTAATACGTGTACTCTATCGAAAATTCATTTTTACATGAATATAAAAAACGAAAACTAAATCTTGACAGGTAAGAGATAATGAATATGATAGATATAAATTACTTCTTTAATGAAATGCATATCTAACAAAGTTTCTGAATTATCAAAGCTTGCAAGAAAAATTAAGTGAGTCATTTAACTACTCAAATCTTAATCTTATTAATTCATTGAAAATTGGTATATTTATTTTACTTGATATACCCTAATACAGAGTAGAAAGGAGCGAGAGAGAGAGAAAGAGAATCTACGTTTTATTGCAATGTTTTATTTAAATTTATTGAAAATGCAATTCTCGTAACTTGATACGAAAGTTGAAATACAATTAAAAAGCTTTTGTCGTAATGTGATAAAAATGGATATATTTTATAGTATTATATTTCATTATAATACACTTAATATTGTTATCATAATAGTACTTTTGTATATTTAAGGGAATTATAATATGAAAAATAATTACAAAAATATGCATACATAAATGATAGAAAATGCATTCTCTCGAATAAATATTTGTAATTACAAACGATGTGTGCGCCATAAAATTGACCATTCATTTACTTCGATAAATGTAATATAAATATTAATATAAAACGTTGATTAATTTTGAATGTTTAGACTGTAAAATAAATTATGCTTTCCCTTACTGAAAACAATACTATCTACGCTAATTTCCTCTTTTATCTTTATTGCTGAGATCATCTCTATGATAAATATTAGCAGTGAGCAAAATTTACAATCGATATTTGATATACGTATTTTATATCTCGTATATAGTTATACAGTATCTTGATTACAATATTAACAATATCAAGTTTTTGCGAACGATTAATAAAATGAATAATTAGCTTTTCTCCATTTGCAAAGTAAAAGTTAAATCATTGATGTGGAATTTTTCAGATGCGAAGCTATATCAGCGAGCGATTATGTTGAATTTTCAAACTATATGACCAGAGATCGCAAGTATCCGAGGCACTGTGGTCAACTGAAAGAATTCGACGTTTACAGCGAGAGGAAGTTCTTCCGCGTTACGTTCAAGAGTAACGATCGTCTCGACGCCACGGGCTTTAATGCCAGTTACGTGTTCCTGGACGAGGAAGAAAATTACACGATGAAGATACCTGCAAGCAACGGATCGGCACGGCACGGTGAGGCTTTCGTGAAATTAGTTAATTAATTATATCACGACGCTGCTTTATACGCTACCTATACGCAGGTAGCTTCTGATTTTTTTAAACAATTATAACACTATGCAACTGAAGAGTCTGATAAGATATAACAGGAAGTGCGTCTTGTCAAGAAAATTCTTCTCTTACTGCACGTAAAATTTCCCTTGCTATATTATTGTATTATTTACCTACTTTTAGCAAATATATATATGTATTTGCTATTTATTATCTATCTTTCAATAATACGGTCATGGAAAATGCGATACATGCAATTAAAAAATTGCAATACGATCCTGATTCCAACTAAAGTGTTAAATTTATTTTTTATCGTGTAAGTACTTATATGTGCAATTTTTTAAAACGTTCAAGTTCGCATTTCACTCGTTTTCAATGATACAATTATTTACGATGGATATTGGAAATGGAAAAATGTGAGCCGTGGTGTGTAGAATTACATAACTGCAATAGATAGGCTGTATATCATACAATATTCGTTATATTCTCCGTATTTACAAGAGAGATCATAGTGTTTCACATATTTCCATTGTTATGTAAATATCCCATTTTAATTCTGACATAAATGCATCAAGTAGATAGTTGAAATGGCAAATGAATAAAGATTTTTTTCTGAAAGACACGATATACAAAATCTCGAGAGAAAGAAATCTTTTCTTTTTTAAAGCTTTCGAGAGAAAGAAATCTGTCAAAGAGAAAAGATTTGCCTGCAATATTATAGTTAAAAGTATAACATATTTGAATTTAACTGAATTCTAGACTTAATATAATTTTTGAAATGCGACGAGTTTTGTATAGAATTAATACGGTCTCTGAAAACTCAACCAAACGAAGTCTCGTTTCTCTTAACAATTCTAACTTGTACATTTCGTAGACAACTATGCGACCACATGATGGAGTCATTATGTTCTAGCTATTTAAATGTCTTGTTCGCAATTTCTATGACAATTATTTCACTTGATTCTTCTTTCTTACTGTACATACGCGCACGTTGTAAAAAACACCGGATATTCTAGAAAATAATTGAGTCTTTTGTAACATAAAGGAAAGCCCGACAAGAGAGGCTGGTAAAAACCCCGTAGAAGGGATCTATTCTGAATTGTAGGAGATCCGTTCATTCGCATTCTCGTTTTCTTGAGGAGGCGAAAAGTCACGCGCGCGGCAACGTAAATGGATAGAAGCGGCCTGGAAAAGGTAGCGCAGGCAGAATGAATTAAGGCGGTGTACTTTAGCTCGTTTCGTCAAATCGAATTGCGCGGAGAGAAGCCCGTTATTCACTCGTTTCGCGCTGGCAAACGGGGTCGAATACCTCGGATTCGTGAAACTTTTGTTACAACTTGGAGCATTGTTGCACGCCCAATGGTTGGGAGTAGCCCTGGTGCCTCTGGGCTTAATAGCTCGAAATACATCTTCGAGCATTCGGTCGCCGTTTAAATGCCGTTCTAGAGTGGTAACAATTGCAGAACAGAAAAATGTGCAAACTCAACGGGATTGTACGATCGAAACGTATAAAATGTATGAATCGTGTGACACATGCTATGTCACTCTCTACCGATCCAATCAATCGGATGTAATGGATTCCGCTAATAATTCTTCTTTGAAACTATGTCATGCATCTCTAAAAGAAAAGAATAATAAGATTGAAAGACCGCTAATGTTAAACATAATAATTTTAAATTAAGAAGCGCCATAACGGTCAGAACGTTAAGATGTTGAACTATTGTAAATTCATTTAAATGAATTAATTTCAGAAATGATAATTGCGTGCCGATATGGTTGTCGGACTTTCAACGCAATCAAATCTGAAAATATTAATAATCCCCCCAAATTCTAATAATCCCCCCAATAGTTCAACATCTTAACGTTCTGACCGTTATGGCGCTTCTTAATTTAAAATTATTATGTTTAACAT